GAAAGCAGGGCCCACCCCTCCCTGGCACAGTTGCCCCTCCGCCACCCAAGGGAAGCAAATGAGTCTTTTTCATTGTAATGAGCTGTATTCTCTCACTATGGAACAACAGGGGCTAAACAAATTAATAAATAGCTCAGCTTTTCCTTCTTGATGTGTGAGTTCTCTCTGCATTTTGGCTATCATCCTACCACTTGTCACAAGTGGCACAATTAATGTTTTTTTCTGCAATTAATGTTTTACCCCAATTAGCTTTTTTTCTTTCTTTTTTGGGTGCTGGAATTATAGGCATGAGCCACCACACCCAGCCGAGCTTTTTTTCTTAATATGCTGTTTTGCTGAATTGAGTTTTAGTTGCTAGTAACAGAAACCAACTGTGGAAAGCTTTAGTCAATGACAATGAAAACGACAGCCGCAAAAGAAAAGATCCGACGGTTGTTACCTCATGAGACCTACTTTAGATTAGTGTTGTCTTGCTCCCCTCCAAGAACTCACTCAGGAATTTGGTCATGTCATTTCTAGAACAGTATGAGACAAGAAGGATCTTTACAGCCCTGAGTCTTCCCATCTGTGATTGAGGTGTTGCATTCCAAGTCTCTCTCATTGAGAACAATTTTTATACATTATACTGGAGTTTAAAAAGCTCAAGCCACTTGAGGTGGGTCGTTTTCCTAATGAAATACCTGGACAAGGGTGCATTTGTGTACACTAAGGAAAATGCTGGAAATACCCTAAACAGCAAGAATAGGAGATTGGTAACCCCACAGTTACAGACATTCAAAATCTAGAACTGTATCATTGTAACTTATCAGTGGTAAAGCCATAATTGGAAGCCAGTCTGTCTGATATCACTATCTGGTCTTTACCCCAAGCTGCTGTCTTTTTTTTTTCTTTTTTCTTTTCTTTTTTTTTTTTTTTTGAGACGGAGTCTTGCACTGTCGCCTGGGCTGGAGTGCAATGACTTGATATTGGCTCACTGCAACCTCTGCCTCCCAGGTTCACTCGATTTTCCTGCCTCAGCCTCCTGAGTACCTGAGATTACAGGCACACACCACCACACCCAGCTATTTCTTTTCTTTTCTTTTCTTTTCTTTTTTTCTTTTTTTTTTTTTTTTTGTATTTTTAGTAGAGATGGGTTTTCACTATGTTGGCCAGAGTGATCTTGAACTCCCGACCTTGTGATCCACCCGCCTTGGCCTCCCAAAGTGCTGGAATTACAGGTATGAGCCACTGCACCTGGCCACTGCTGTCTTCTATATGCGTACATAAATACACACACACACACACACACACACACACACACACACACATATATATATATATATATATATATATATATATAGTCAGCATTTCGCTCTTGTTGCCTAAACTGGAGTGCAGTGGTGAGATCTTGGCTCACCAAAACCTCTGCCTCCCGGGTTTAAGCAACTCTCCTGCCTCAGCCTCCCAAGTAGCAGGGATTACAGGCTAATTTTGTATTTTTAGTAGAGATGGGGTTTCCCTGTTAGTCTGGTTGGTCTTGAACTCCTGATCTCAGATATTCACCTGCCTCGGCCTCCCAAAATGCTGGGATTACAGGCATGAGCCACCGAGCACAGCCTTCTATACACATTTCTCATTCACTTCACCTGGGCCAGTTCTCTCCGCAAATAAGGCAACCAATCTGGAGAAGCAGCTTCTACAGAACAATTTACATCAAGGTGAATGGATACTTTGATTTTCATACTAAAAAAAGTCAACACTGTTGCTAAACTCCAGACAATGTGGGAAGGTTTTAAACCACTCTCTGGGTCAGTCCTCCATTTAGCCTTGGGAGGGAGGAGCTGGTTATTTTATTTTGGGGGTGGATAAAGTCTCACTGAGTGCAGTGGCGAAATCTCGGCTCACTGCAACCTCCGCCTGCCAGGTTCAAGCTATTCTCTTGCCTCAGCCTCCCTAGTGGCAGTGACTACAGGTGTGCGCCACTACACCTGGCTAATTTTTGTATTTTTAGTAGAGATGGGGGTTTCACCATGTTGGCCAGGCTGGTCTTGAACTCCTGATCTCAGGTGATCTGCCCACCTCAGCCTCCCAAAGTGCTGGAGCTGGTTATTCTATGAAGACTGTGGTGCACTTGTGTGCTCCACCATTAGGTTTTCCCCGGCTCCCTCCTTCCAAACCAAGCGGTTTTCTCTCTCTTCAAGATAAATACACTGCTTGTAATTTTGAAAGGCATGTTACAGAAATATAACTGAGGTAGTGCTGAATTTTTTAAATGGTCCAAAGACAAATTATTCAATGAAATGAACAAATTGTATAATTGCTATGTGTATCTTTCAAAATCATAACAAAATAATTTATTGAAACTTGACAATCAGATAAAATGCAGTTTCTCAGAATTTTTTCTTTCTGTTTTGAGATAGGGCTTACTGCAGTCTTGACGTCTCAGGCTCAGGAGAGCCTTCCACCTCAGTCTCCCAAGTAGCTGGACTGCAGGAGCACACCACCATGCTAGGCTATTTCTTGTACTTTTTGCAGACATGGGGATTCACCATGTTGCCCAGGCTGGTCTTGAACTCCTGGGGCTCAAGGGATCCGCTAGACTCAACCTCCTGAAGTGTTGGAATTACAGGCGTGAGCCACCACACCTGGACTCAGAATGTTATTAATTTAAAAGTTATCCTGAGTGAGTCGGCAATTTTGATAAGCTTCTTTCTCCTTCCTATGCAGATTTTGTGCACATTTTTACTAAAAATGCCTATGTCTGATTTTGTGTTTCTTTTAGCCCATCTTACAGAAATGTCCGGACTCTACTGTCTTTGTTGTAAAAGGAGCATATTTTATTTTTTTACTTATTGTTTCTTCTTAGCGGTTTATTTTTTTAAAGACAGGAAAATGATCAGCTTGCATCCTGAATCGGACCACTTATAAACGATAATTCTTCTTTGGAGCCGACAATGACATTTTAGCTTATACTTAAGGGGGAACATATTCAAATGCTATTTGGACTCAAATTTCTAAGAAAGAAAAGAAGGAACTGGTAAACTCTAAAGAGTCTCAATTCCCTTGCTGAGTGATGCGGTCAACGAGTACCGATTGCCTGCAGGGGGCCAGAAAAGGCTGCGTGGTGCTCGCCTCTCAGGGCTCCTGCCTGTCTGTCAACCTGGGCTCTGGCAAGGCGCAGCGCGGCCTCTTGCTGTAAAGTGACGCAGTGCTCTCCAGGGAGGACAGTGGGTCCAGCAAACCCACTTCGGCCCTCAGGGAGCACTTGAACTTGTAAATACCCCAGGCCTTTGGAAACAACCCTCAACCTTGACGGGGGAAATTCCCGGTGGGAATTGATGCAAACTGGTCAGTTACACAAAAAGGTTGAGGGTGAACCATAATCTTGGGGCTATTTTTGCTTTCAGAAAGAATCCCCTAGTAGACAAGGAGAGGCTCAGTTCCCTGCTTGCTCAGAGCTGCTCAGGTGCGAGGGCGTCATCACCGGGGAATCGCTGTTCTCGGGCGCCCAACCCTCCGGGGCGCGCAGATGCTTTGGTCCTGGGAGAGTCCTGGGCCGGCACCAGGCCCTTCCGATCCTGCTGGAGTCACTGGAGGACCAGGCGACCGGAACAGCGGGTCAGGCCAGTGCGGTGTGACTCCGGGGCTGGAGCGCCTTCGCAGTTTACACCTGTACGCAGCCCACACCTCCCACGGCTGTTTTGGATGCAGTGCTCTCCTGCCTTTCAGCTTGCCCAGCGGCATGTGGGCCTCAAGCCTTGTCTCTAGCGGCGGCGCCCGCCTAGCTGTGTTCACCTTGGGGCCGCGAGGGCCTACCACCGGCTGGCACCAGGTGGACGCGCTGTCAAGATCGGGGAAAGGAAAGAAGGAGGCTAGAAGGACACAGAGCTGGTGTCCCTCTCACCTGCGACGGGCGCGCGCGCACCACCGCGCCTTTACGCACAGACTTTCCCCAAAGATTGGCTCACAACGCCTCCTGCCCCGAAATCAAGGGCTCCCAGTGGCAAATTCCCGTACTCCCTCCTCCTCTCAGCCAGTCCGCGGCGCCTGGACGGATGCAGAGAGGACAAGGCCGGGATGGAGGGGCGCTGGGCCTGAACTGCGGCTGTCGCCCGCGGCCCTGCTCTTTTGGGCAGCCAGCCGCGGAGTCGACGCCCGGTCGCAAACTCCGGGGGTGAATCCGCAGATCCCAGCACTAGACACAGGCCGGGCGTGGGGGTGGGGAGCTCCTCGCCGCTGGGGCTCCAGCCGTCCGTTCCCAGCCAGAGGCTCCCCCTGAGGTTCCAGGACACCCTAATCCCAAGCCCAGGGTCCCATCAACCCGCAGCCACAGTCGGCCCGGGTTCCGCGTGTCGGGGGGACTCTGAGGATCGTCCTCCCCTCCGGGCTGGGACTCCCCCACGGCAGCGGACAGCCCCGCAGCGCTCCCTGGCCCAGGTCCCAGATGAACTGATCCACTCCCGGGTCCGCCTCCTCCGCCCGCTGAGCAAGCGCCCCGGGGATTCCCCGGCCTCAAATCGGCAGCGGCCGGGTGGAGTCTGCCCCAGAACCCGGGATCCCCCCGAGGTGAGAAAACCCTCTCGGCGGGAGAAACTGGCCCTATCCCGGCCCGACGCCCTCGGCGGGAGCCTGCTCCAGGGGTCCGAGGTTCCCGAAGCTGGAGGCCGGCTCCGCCCCTGAGCTCCCCAGCCGCCACATCCGCCCCCATCCCGCGGGTCGGCGAAGTGGGGGTGCTGGGGCGCTTGCCACTCGCGACTCGGGTTCGGCTTATTTAGAGATTTCGCTTCTGCTTGTCTTGCGCGAGCTGTCCCCAGCTCTGGGGTAACGCTGCCAGGTGCCCCGTGCCGGCGCTTGGGAGAGCGGACTGCGCCTGCCTGACTCTCAACTCCGGCCAGGAACGGGCCCCCGGGGAGGACCCGGAGGAGGCCCCGAGGGAGGGCGTGTCGCCGCGCCCCGCCCCGCCCCGCCCCGCGCCGCCTCGGAAAGCCCCCGCGGTCCCGCCCACCCCAGGGACTCGCTCAGCCTCCGCTGACTTTTTTCGCTGAGCGCAGCCGCCTGGCGCCGGTTTCCGCCGGGCTGGAGCGCGCGGGCCACGGCTTCTCTGGGGACGCAGCAGCGAGAAGTGAGGACCTGGGCGCGCGCCCCGCGCCCGGCTCTCCCGGCCCGCGCCCCGGCCCCCGGCCCGCGCCCCGGCCGCCGGCATGGTGCTGCTGGCCGGGACCGGGCCGGAGGGCGGCGGGGCGCGCTGCATGACTCCGCCACCGCCGTCCCCACCCCAGGGCGCGCAGGTCGAGGAGGACCCCGCTGACTACGAAGAGTTCGAGGACTTCTCGAGTCTGCCCGACACCCGCAGCATCGCCTCGGACGACTCTTTCTACCCTTTCGAGGACGAGGAGGAGCAAGGCGTCGAGAGCGCGGAGAGCGTCCCGGAGGGCGTCCCGGAGGCGGCGAGCCTCCTGCGCGCGGCCTGCGCCAACGACGTGGGGCTGTTGCGGGCACTGGTGCGGCGCGGAGTGAGCGTCGAGGAGGCGCAGGAGACAGACCGCAACGGCCGGGTAAGCGGACGGCCCCGCAGGATCTGAGTCCCCCCACTTCCCCTGCTCCCCTCCTCCCCACCACATCCCCGCTCCTTGCAAGTACTGGCTCTGGACTGGTCCCTCGGTCACTCTGCCGCGCCCCGGAGCGCCTTTTCCTGGCTCTTTGGGAGCGCGATGCGCGGGGACTCCTGGGTGGCCTCCCGGTCCCAGGCTGGGGGACGCGGTGCGGGGAAAGGGCAGTTTAAAATGCCCGATGTGGCAGCGCCGCAGGAAACGCTGCCAGTCCGGCATCCTCACCACGTCCCCTCCTCGTTTACTGGCCCCCAGGGACCTCCTGACTCAGAATTCGCGCTGGCGGCTCCCGCTGCAATCCAGGATTGGCTTCTTGTGGGGTCTATTCAACCCGATCCCCTCCTGACCGTTACCTTTCCCTGGGTCCCTGGCAGGGGACCTTCCTCCTGGCCTGCAGGCGACAACCCCTCCTGCCAGTTCCCCATTTGTCCCCTGGGCCCCCCGCGCCGCCCTTGCCCTAACACGCTAGAGCACAGATGGGCTTCTCCAGCCGCGATGATTTGGAAGCAACAGTTTCCTCCCTCGCCACGACTGCTTGGTCCCCTGCCCACCTGCACTGAGCCTTGCGGCCCGCGCGCCGCGACCAGCCAACCTGATCTCTGCCTCTTCTGTCTGCACGGTCACCTCCGCGAGCCAGTGCCAGCCAGGGCTCCCCAGAGGAAGGGCCTGGGAGAGCAGCAGAGCCGCGGGCATCTACTCGGGTAGGGCAGGCCGCATGGAGGGAGGCACAGGCTATCCATCGGTTATGACAAGACTCATAGAAAGCAAGAGATGTTTAGAAAAGGAAAGAAAAAGTTGGCCTCAGAAGGCTTGAGAAGGACTGGCTGGTGGAACACACCCCACCGAGCAAAGCGCTTTGAGGGGAAACTGCAGAGTGTCCACGGGGGCAAGTCCCCATTAGTCTGTGCTCAGTGGGCAAATGGCAGCGTTCTCACCTGATTTTTATGTTCCCCAACGTCCGTAGTATCTGCAGAGGCAGCCTAGCACAAAAGCAAATGCTTTGCTCAGGAGCCTGCAGCTGACAGAAAACATAAGCTTTGACTTGGGGAGCTGGGTGACCTTGTGACTTTGGCTTATCCTGTAGTGGGTGGGGCAGGTGGTTTGCCCCGACTGTGGTCTGGGCTGCGCTTAGATAAATGGGAAGCCCTCGAATGTCACTTTCCTCGTGTACTACCTTGCCCCTGTGATTCAGTTCCTCCCAGCGGGTCCCTCTCACAGCACGTGGGAATTCAAGATGAGATTTGGGTGGAGACACAGCCAAGCCATATCACATACAATGTGAACTTGGAGAAAGGGTCTGTGCTTGTCACATGTTAGGCAGTGAGACCTGAGGTGGGGTCTCCATGGGTGGCATCACCTGGAGCCCTCTTCTTGCAGTATCCCCTCCCCCAGCCCAAGCGACAGATGCCTTGGCTGGCACGTGATTAGGGCTTGGAGCCCCTCCCGAGGTCCTAGGGGCTGTTTCTTGAGTCCTACATTCAGTTGAACTGTGAGTTTTCAGGCCCAGATGTGTGTATCAGAAACCTTGCTTTCTGAAAGCTGGTATGGGGGCCAGCTTTAAAGGAACCCCCACCAAGTTCAAGTTCATAAAGGGATAGGTGGGTTAGGTCTCTCCCCCTGTCCTGGTCAGCCTGGTGTTCTCCAGTGGGCTGGAATGGGCACAGGAGGGGCCTGGCTTGCCCAGTCCCCACTCTAGGGTACCACTGGGCTCAGCTTTGTATGATGTTTCCTTTAGGGGCAAAACATAAATGTTTGAAAACAGCAGAGAGGCAGAGGGGGGCTGTAGCATAGGAGGCTAGCTCCAGCCTTTCCGCAGCTTTCTGTCTCGGTTTCGTGGTCTGTAACAGAGGAATAGCGGCAGCTGCTGCCTCCTAGGATGTGAGCACAAACTGGCTTAGTGCGCACACGGCTCTGAGAAGGCCTGGTCCAGGCCTGCATGTACCGTCCTGTCTAGTTTCTTATTCACCTGCCTTCTTCTCTTGGCTTAGAAAAGAGCACCTTCCACTTTTAGTTTTGTTTTGTTTTGTCTTTTGCCAGGCAAGGCTTTTTCTCTCTCTGCTTTTCCCGCACTTGATTACATGAGAAATGAAGACTTTTTTGTTTCTCTGTGTCACATAAAATAATGATGTAGCCCGGACATAACCTGCTAACTTCAAGACCCCTGGATTCTTTCATCTTTGGATCAGACTGAGCACGGCCTGTGTTCTGTTCTCTGGGGGGACCAGAGCGGGGAGCAAGGCAGGAGCTTCCATTCTTTCCATGAGCTTCTCAAGGCTGTTGATCAAACAGCCTCTATATTCCTGAAAAACAGCTGACAGAATCAAGTGTGGCAAAATCCAGATGCCCCACTCTGTGGTAAATGGAGTGAGTCATTGCCAAAGTGTTTATCGCAGACCTACTGTGCTCCTGCTAGGTACTTGAGCAGACTCAAAGCTGAATCCAGCAGTCCCTGCCTTTGACAGTCCTAGTGTTTTGTTTTGTTTTGTTTTGTTTTGTTTTTTGAGATGAAGCCTTTCTGTTGCCCAGGCTGGAGTGCAATGGCGGGATCTTGGCTCACTGCAACTTCTGTTTCCTGAATTCAAGTGATTCTCCTGCTTCAGCTGAGACTATAGGCGTGTGCCATGATGCCTGGTGGATTTTTTTGTATTTTTAGTAGAGTCGGAGTTTCACCATGTTAGCCAGGATGGTCTTGATCTTCTGACCTCATGATTCGCACGCCTCGGCCTCCCAAAGTCCTGCATTTACAGGCGTGAGACCTAGGAAATTGGGAAGCAGACTGCTTTCTGCAGGACGGTGTCCAGCCTCCTTGATGGCAGCAGGCTACCCTCTCATGGCCTGCAGGATCCTGTTTTAAGGGCAACTTCCCTGGGAGGCTTCTGTCTCCTCTTGTCCAAGCCTCTAGAACCTGGAGCCGAGCAAGGAGAATGCAGGCATTCAGATATTGAGGGCCGAAATTATAAGTAAGATGGTCATTTAGAGAGCAGGTGACATCTGAGCAGAGAAGGTATCTGGGGGAAATAGCAGTTAGAAAGAACTGCGTGTGCAAAGACCCTGGGGCAGGAACCTCGCTGAAGCCTGGTCTCCAAGCTTGTCATGATTAGTAACAGTGCAAACCTTAAAGAAGGCCCGAGAGCTTTGGTGCAGTGGAGGGGTGATTGCATTAATGACAGAATGCCAGCTCACGGGTACCGCCCACAGCCGGCTTCCCAGGAGGAAAATATCTCTAAAGAAGTCTAAACTTTTCTGGGATGTGGTTGTTGAGCTGTTCATCTCTGGGCATTTAAGAAGGGAGCTTTGCCTGAGCTAACAGGCTTTCCGTTTGGTCTGGGTAACTAAGGGTCAGATGTGTTTTGTTTAAGAAAATGCATTCTTTCCTGCCTCCTGAGATTGGTAGAATGTTGGACGTGGCTCAGCACACCATTTTCTTTCTCAAATATTTATTGCTCTAAAAGCATTGTGTGATTTAATATGCAACATGTAAATATTTGTCAAATAATTGCTCTGTAGTATTCAAAGGGTGCTCCTGATGTCTCCTGGATTTATGGTTGTTTTGTTCCTTCTGACTTGAGGCAGTAAAAGCTACCATAATTCTTTTTCTTAATTCTTCTCTTGCACTCATTATCACCTGAAGTTCACCTTTATGGCCTTGGCGGCTCTTGAGATGACGGTGAAAGCAAAGAAAGGGTTTCTGCTGTTGTAATTGTCACAGAAGGGCAGTTTAAATGTCAGGCAGCTCTTGGACTGAATTAGACCAAATATGTGCTACATTTAAAATACTGTACTCCTGTCTTGGTGGGATTCTGCTTCTGCACGTTTATGTTTGTTGGCTTTTTTTTTTTTTTTTTTTTTTTTTGAGATTGAGTTTTGCTCTGTCGCCAGGCTGGAGTCAGTTGCGAGAACTCTGCTCACTGCAACCTTCGCCTCCCGGGTTCAAGTGATTCTCCTGCCTCAGCCTCCCGAGTAGCTGGGACTACAGGTACACAGCACCACGCCTGGCTAATTTTTGTATTTTTAGTAGAGATGGGGTTTCACCATGCTGTCCAGGATGGTCTCTATTTCCTGACCTCATGATCTACCCTCCTCGACCTCCCAAAGTGCTGGGATTACTGGTGTGAGCCACCGAGCTTGGCCATATATCAGGACTTTATCTTGAAATGTACTTGAGAAAATTTTGTGGGTTTTTTTGTTTTTTTTTTTTAAATGATTCAGAAAGATTTATAAACTTCAGAATTACTTTTCCCCTGCCGGGCGCGGTGGCTCAAGCCTGTAATCCCAGCACTTTGGGAGGCCGAGGCGGGTGGATCACGAGGTCAAGAGATCGAGACCATCCTGGTTAACATGGTGAAACCCCATCTCTACTAAAAATACAAAAAATTAGCTGGGCATGGTGACGCATGGCTGTAATCCCAGCTACTCAGGAGGCTGAGGCAGGAGAATTGCCTGAACCCAGGAGGCGGAGGTTGCGGTGAGCCGAGATCGCGCCATTGCGCTCCAGCCTGGGTAACAAGAGCGAAACTCCGTCTCAAAAAAAAAAAAAAAAAAAAAAAAAGAATTAATTTTCCCCTAAAATGAGAATTGAGTAATTGAAACAGCCCTCCATCTTTACGGGGTTTTGTGTGCACAAAAACAGACTGATTAGCATAGAAAGTGACTTCTCTGGTTCTTGTTAGTTACTATAGAAAGTGAATTCAGGCCTCAGGCCTCTGTATGCTCGTGGAGGGCGTTCAAGCACAAGAGGGAGGTTTGCTTTGCTTCTTAGAAATGTATGTTAGGCCCGACATGGTGGCTCACGCCTGTAATCCCAGCACTTTGGGAGGCCAAGGCAGGCAGATCACTTGAGTCTAGGTGTTTCAGAACAGCCTGGGCAACATGGTGAAACCCTGTCTCTACAAAAAATACAAAAAATAGCGGGGCATGGTGGTGGATGCCTGTAGTCCCAGCTACTA